ATTTGAACTAGAGTATCTTGGATGAACTTCTAATCTAGTTAGTCATACGCTTTTTCCATATCAACCTTTATTGCCACAAACCCCTTTTTTCATTTGCTTATTGTCATCATATGAATAACTTCCTAAGAAATAATGATATTATTACAGCCAGTTCTGTTTGATATAAAGCTACATTGTTCCTGAGTAACCAAATCATTCATCACAACCTTCAATCGATTAGCTAGAAGTTTTGTAATTATTTTAAAACTCACATTGCAAAGAGAGATGGTGAGAAACTCTTTTAGAGATGTAGGATGATCAACTTTTGGTATAAGAACAATCTTAGCTTGGTTAACTTCCTTAACTATTAAAGGGTTTAAGAAGAAATCTTAAACCAAATCAAAGATTTTATGGCCAATTAAATTCCATTGAGTCTGACAAAAATTTGCATGCAAACCATCTGGCCCTAGAGCCTTAAAAGCACTAATAGAAAAGGCAGTAGTATTTTTGACTTCAATAGGGTCAACCCTTCTTTGAATCCAATCTAACTCTCTTTATGAAATACTTGGGAAAGTTGATAGTCATTCAGCATTAGTAGTAAACTCTGGATCCTTAGTGTATAGTTGTTGAAAATATTGACATGCCATATTCTTTAATTTTGTTAAGTCATGTACCCAGTTGCCATAAGAATCTTTGAGAGCTGAAATTTTTTTCCTTTTGTGATTAGAGATTGTGGATGTATGGAAAAATTTTGTATTCTTGTCCCCAAGTTGCAGCCACTTACACCTAGATTTTTGGAACCAAAATAATTCTTCTTGAGCTGTTACTTTATGATAATCTCACCAGAGTTGGGCTTCAAGGTGTTTGAGACTTGATCGGAATTGGGAAAGGTTTCTCTTCTTAATCCCTTTGATTTTGCAAATAATTTCCTTCTTTTTATAAGTAAAGTTCCCTACTTGGTTTCTATTCTATGCCTCTACTAATTGTTGGAAATGAAGGACACCACTTATCCAATCTATATTCTCCTAAGAATCATGAACCACATCTTTAAAGGAGGCTTTCAAAGACCATGCAGCTAAGTAGGTAAAACGGCGAGTGAGCCTAGGTGAAGGAGTATTACCATATGAGTTTACCATAATGACTCTATGGTCAGAGTTAAACTTCAGTTCATGTATGACCTTAGATGACGGAAAGATGGACTCCCAGTAAAAATTATGGAACACCCAGTCTAGTCTTTCATGAACATTATGCCACTCCCAAGTAAAATAGTTCCCTTTAAAGGGAGGATATAAGAGTCCAATGCTCATGATATAGTTTACAAGATCTTGTATAGGTTTCATGAGTGGTGGTACACCTCCTTCTTTATCACTTGTGTGCAAATATGAGTTAAAATCCCCAAGGACCAACCAAGGGGTTGTCATATTAAGTGCCAAGTGTTTAAGGGATTACCATAAGATAGTTTTATGACTTGCTCTAGTTTCTTCATAGATAAACAAGACAAAAAAATCTCTATTATTCTGAAGATTAAAGATTTTACAATAGAGGAGTTGAGTATTTGAAAACATGTAGTCCACTTTGTAGTTACACATATTCAACAAAACCCATATTCCTCTAGAAAATCTATCTTCCTTAACCCAAATCCAGTGGCTGAAACCCAACTTTTTAACAATGCTATCCGCACGACCACCACTTACACGTGGTTCCAATAAACATAAAACATCAATTTTGCATCTATTAAGAATACCTTTAACAGTGATGGGGAAGGCATGGCCACTGACTCCCCTACAATTCCAGGATGCTATAATCATAATAAAATCCTTAGGGAAGAAATCCAAAAAGAACTTACCGATCTTCCACTGTAGAGGTGCAAGGCATCATATTCTCTTCCTGTGTCTCAGCCACTAAAGAGCCAATCTCCTTAATAAATTCATTTATGTCATCGAACTCCACATCATGAGGATCTGGCAGTTTGGGATGCATAAGTTAAGAAGAGTTGACTCTGCTTAAATGTCCAGTTACTACTGCCTTATTATGTCCTGATCTAATTGAGGCATGTGTTCTGCATTAATTTCCCTTGAAGTTAATTCTACACCTTTAATTTTACACTGGACCAATTGATCCAAATTGCCACTAACCACAACATGACTTCTAAGCCCTTTACTTTTGGACTTATCTTTGACATCTTGATCTAATACAAGAGGGCCCAGTTCCAGAGTGTACATTCTATGCATGGTTCTTGGGTTCAAGCCCAGAGTTCGGCCTATGTGTGTTAGGCTGAGTATTTTCTTTTCCTTTTGATTTATAAGTTACTCCACTCTTGCTACCTTCTAGCTTCTCAATTCTAGTTTTTTTGCCGCTAGTCCTACTGGCTTTTTTAGCTCCTATTTCTCCCTTGTCAAATCAAGTAATCGCATTTCCTCTCATGTCAGAGTGTCCAGGTTCTATACTTTGGCATAAACCCCTTCCTTGTGTCAGTTGGTCATCTTCTTTTAGGTCCTTTATTATAGCAAACTGTGATTTCTAAACAAAATAAGCCTATTTTCTATCTTCTTTTTACTGTAAGCTTATCTGCCTTCTTTAACTTTTAGACTTGTCCATTCTCCTTGGGAAGCGAGGTGTTGTGAAACCCGGTTTGATCATCCCGAAATATTATTTTTTCTAGCATCTGTACTCATGTTCGTCGGAGTTGTTACAATCAACGTTGATTTCTCAAATGGAGTCCCATTTCAGCTAAATGCTTGAGCTGTATTTTTAGGGGCATGCTTCCCTACGATGTTTAAATCTCCTGCAAGAAAAGCAAACAAGGCCTAATCCCTCATATTCAATATTAAACACCTCTCTAGCAGTGATCACGTGAGGAACAAGTGGTTTTTGGGGATCTAACTCAATGTATATTCTCACAAACCTCCCTTGTTCAATCTTTGCGTCCTTTGCTTGAAAGTTAGCTAGAGTGTTGGGGTCAACTTTCAAGGTTCTTCTAATTCTATCTCTAAGTCTTGCTATGAAGTGGCTGTTATAACAGTGTATAGGAATATTTGGTATTCTAACCCACGTAGCTATACGACCCAAAGGATTTTTATAAGGATTAAAGTATGGTATCCATCTTTAAACCAGCAAACACTGTTGCTTAATAACCTAAGGCCCTTTATATAAAACTTTTCTGTATTGATGCTTCTAGTTTTTCATTTTGTTAAACCTCACTGTAAAATAATTGTTTGGTAAGTCAATCAGTTCGAAGCTAGAAAATCCCCAGAAGTTGCTATGCCAATTTTTCAGCCTGTACACATTAAACTTCTTGCCTACTATAGTCAGAACAAGAGCATAATTCCATGGTTGGCACTACTCATTAAATTCTTCTTGGGAAATCGGTATTACTGGATAAATCTCCATGAGCTTCTTTACTTCTTCTAATGGTTCTAGTAACTTCCAAGATATATCTTGATCGTCGTTAAAAAGTTTAGCTTCTTCTATCAGATAACCATTGTGAGCCACCCTATTGAAGTTCATCAACAATTCTCTATACGATACCATTGGTTTTTTCTTACACTCTTTCAACACATCTGTGTCCTTCTTCTTGCCAACCTTATTACTTTCTTCAGCACCTTTTTCGTCCATAAGGTCATTTATAATGGCTTGAGGTACTTCCTGCACTTTCTTCTTCTTATGACCATCATTTTCCTCTTGAGAAGGCCTGTCCGGCGGTATTTTTCGGTGGCCAAGATCAGTCATGGTGTTAGTGCACGTATCTCGACAGAGAGGGACTAGTGATTTTAAACACTCATTGAATTATTGAAAATACATAGTTCATTTCATCTTTAATGTGACCACCACCGTTAATATTGGTTCTAAGCATTTTTAACAAAACATGAATAAAAAAGTTATATCATCCATCACATTCAATTAAAGTTATGTTTCAGGCAAATTGAGCTTACTTGAGTTAGGTTTAATTTGAATTGGACTTAAACTATTGAAGAAAAAAGTTATATTGTTAAGTTAGATCCTAATACTTTGAGTTTTCAGATTTATTCGAAGTGGTCTAAATATTCAAATTATAAGAAATTATTTTTGTTTCTATTTTCATAAATATGGTAGCTTTGAAAATATCTCAAATTTTAAAATTGACAAGGTTTTTATAAAAAAACTGAAAAGAAAATGATTTTTGAAATAAACAGCACTCCTCATTCTAAATATAGAAACTATAGTTTGTTTTGATTTTAATTAAAGACCTCACTTTCTTTTAACTCCCAAATTTATATTTTTTCTCCTGAGTATTCTTGTTGATCGCACACTTTAATATAAAGATAGATTTCCGTGCATATGATTAATAAGGAAGAATATTTTAAAAAAATAACTCACATATTTATAAATAATTAATTTAGCTAATTTTTTAATCCATATAAATTCATTACTGTTCCTTCTCAATATTATAAGAGACTTTTTTTAAAATATCATGTTTAAAAATATAAAATATTTTGAGCCTTTTAATGTGAAATAATAAGTTTTTTGTAAAAATACCCTTAATTTGGGTGTATTAATTAATAAATTTTTTAAATTGAAACACTTTGTTAAATAAAGATCAATAATTATGAAAAATTTTAATTTTAATTTTGATTATTAACTTATTAACGATGCAAACAAATAAAAACTGTCTCGTAAATTTAAAGGGAGATTATTAATGAAAGAGTTCTAAAAGATTCAAAATTTAATGCCAGGCAAGGATTGTGTCAGACATTTCTGTAAATATTAAATTTTTTTAGAGTCTTAATATTCTCCCTAAATGAAAATAGTGATTAGCTTACCGAAAAGATTAAGTTTTGCAGAAAGAACTAGTCCTGAAGAAACCATGATCAAATGGTTTAAACAAAATTTTCTGTAACAAGAAAATATCATTAGCAGTTAAAAAAAAATAAAAAAGAAAAAATAGTGATGATACTGATTAGCTTGCTGGGTCAGGCAGTAAATTCAATTTCTATTTCTTTTTCCAATAGCCAGCGTCACGAAGTCCTTTCAGCTTATCAAACGCTCCGATCAAGGCGAGCCATTGTGCTGCAAGAAGAAGCATTGTGCCAAGAGTGCTGTTTCCACGGCTACTGACGAAGCTTTGGACGGCGACAGACACTATCCACCGTTATCCGCGACGTTCGAAAGTACGGCGTTTTCTTCTCCATTTTTTCTGAACATGTCGACGGAACCTTACTTTTGTTTGTGATGTAAGGTGCAAAATTATTGTTTCTCTGTTAAAAAAAAAAAAAGTCGACGGAACTTTGCATTTAGCAGTATAATGTTTTGAGTTTCAGTTTCAACTTTTCATTTATCGTAAGAAAAATTTCTCCTTGTGATCAAATGGAAGGGCCTTATAAAATTTGTAAGATAAGTTGCTTATTTTGCAAGTTTTCTTATTGATTTTGCAACCTTTCTTGCTTAGTTTTTAAGGATTTCGTACTCCTTGCAATTTGCACGTTTCATGAGAATCTAAGATTGAGGTTGCTTATCTTGTAAGTCTTGCTGATTTTACAACTTTTCTAGCTTGATTTTCCAATGTTTTCCATTTGGTCTTTCATATAGAATATTTCTCTCATTTGGTCTTGGCAAGAAATTTTCCCTTTATTATATTTGTCATTTTCGACCTCACCTCTTATTCATTGTTATCATCGGCGTCTCCCTGTGGTATCTTTGGCCTCAGCATAAGTACTTTCAAAATTTCTAATTAAAGATATTAAACTTACACATAATGATGCTGCGGCAACCTTTCGAAGTGCAGCAACAAAAAGACGACTTGGTGTTTGGTGGATTCAAAAGGAACTACAGCTGTTGATAGTTAATGAATGTTAACCGGATCTTTTGTTTGTCCAATGTCTTGTTCAAACATCAACTTATCTTATTTCTTTACTTTGCAGTATATATTTCGAAATACAACAACTTTTTGGACTGGTTTATGGTTTTGGGTTCACAATGCTGTTTTGTGATATATGCTTTGAAGTGTGGAAGTTATTATTATTTCTGGCACTGGCATTTAATGAAATTTATCAGCAGACAACAGGGATGCATTTTGAAATCCCATGTTATTCATGCCGTTTGTCTTAAGGATGCAAGAATTCATCATAATTTAAGGATTTTTTATATAATATACCGTCGTCATTTCAGATGAGCTATTTCATAGATTTAGCCTTACGATGATACATACATACATACATACATTTTACGAAGAAAGAAAAAAGAACCTACAGTTTGTATTTTGTGAGTTTTAAAATTGATATGCATAAACATCTTGCGCAAGCTAGGGATATTGAGTGGTGGTAAATAATAACAACTTATCAATCTGTAACTGTACATTTAAAAGGGCAACAAAGATATCTCAATTATTGGTGGTCACAATTTGATACTTTTTGGATTTAATCTTATTTTATTGTCGCTACCAAAAAAAGAAAAAGAAAAAGCACTGATAATATTATTTTGTAAAAGCATTTTATGTATATGTTGCGAGCGCTGCCAGTAGAAAACTAATATTTGCATGTAATGACATTTAGAATTTATAATTTAGTTTTCAAGTGAAATTCTTTCATGCAACGAATTTTATTAGACTGATATGTGAACGTGTGTATCATTCTAATTGGACAAGTAATGTTATTGTCCAAAAAAGAAGAATAAAGTTTTTGGTATCCACCGGCACTTTTCATCTCATTCTTGTTTATATATGTTTGCATGTTCAATTCTATGTTGCTAAGTGGTATTTTTTCTAGTTTTGGCTTTGATAATTTTTGAAACTTCCCTCCAGCAAATTATACACAACCTTTGTTCCTTGATTTGGATTGATTTTAGCATTTGTTTAGAGAGCCCAGATGGACTTTAGCTCTGAAGAGTCGGATATCAGTGAATCTGAGATTGATTACTACAAGGAGAAGCCATATGAAAAATTAAGGGCTGGGAACTATAAAGTAAAAAATTTAAATGGCACTCTCAGATGTCCTTTCTGTGCTGGAAAGAAAAAGCAAGATTACAAGTACAAAGACTTGCTGCAACATGCATCTGGAGTGAGTAAGGGTTCTGCCAACAGAAGTGCAAAACAAAAGGCTAACCACCTTGCTCTGGCAGAGTTTTTGGTGACTGATTTATCTGGTGAAGCAGAGCAAGTCCAAATGCCACCCTTACCACAACCGGTCAGTCAATTTCAGCTAGATGATCTTTATGTCTGGCCATGGACTGGAATAATGGTCAACATACAGGACAAGAGTTTACATAATGCTGAGTATTGGCTGAAGCAATTGGCTAAATATGGGGCCTCAGATGTTCGTATTTTAAATGAAAATGATCAAACTGCTCAAGCTGTGGTGGCATTTAGTGATGATTGGAATGGTTTTTTCAATGCAAGCGATTTTGAGAAATCATTTGAAACGAAACATCATGGCAAAATGGATTGGAAGCTGCAAAGCATGCAGCCAGTCTCAAGCATTTATGGGTGGATTGCACGGGAAGATGATTATCGTTGTGAGGGGCCAATAGGGAAATACCTGCGCAAGAAAGGAAGCTTAAAAAGGGTCTCAGATATTGTCCAAGAAGCATCTAAAAGCAGACATGCTGATGTGGCAAACCTAGCGAATATAATTGATATGACAAATGAGAACCTCGCCAAAATGCAATACACTTACAATGAGAAGACTGTGTCACTAAGTAGGATGCTTGAAGAGAAAGACCAGCTACATCATGCTTTTCTTGAAGGTTCGCGTACTTTCTTTTTGTAAAAATTTTTTGTGCCTGTATGTGATATAATAGGTTCCAATTGACTATATACTATTTTGATAGCATTTTTATGTTCTTGTGTGAATCAAATTCATGTCAAAAGTTGCATGCAAGGTATTGATGCATATTCTTTTTTTGCTAGAATCAAGGAAAATGCAGCGGAGGGCACGGGAGGAGTTACAAAAGATATTGGATGAACAAGAAAAGTTAAACAGTGAATTAGAGGCACGAAAGCAGAAGCTTGATTTGTGGAGCAGAGATTTAAACAAAAGAGAGGCATCAACTTTGCAAGAGAGTCAGAAGCTTGAAGAAGACAAAAGGATGGTAATGAAATACCACAAGTTTTGTCTCATTATTCTGTTTTGATCACAATTTCTTACCCTTTTACTAGCTTATCAATAGCCATCCATTTAAAATTGTTTGGTTCTTTTTGGTTTTTGGTCTGTTACTAAAATCACTGGTTGCTGTTTTTTGGGGCCGAAGCCCTTTCTCGGCCTTTTTTCTTATCCAACTATTCCATTAAACCAATCCCCAAAGCTGAGAGTTTTCCCCGTTTATGAACTGGACCTATAATTTGTTCATTTTCAGAGAATGGATATGCAAAAATTAATGTAGTTTCACATACAAGTGATTATAAAAAATAACTAGTATTTTTATTTTATGTGAACCATCTTAGCTCTCAAGGCACAATGAATTTTTTTTTTTAATATGGTATTGCTCTTTGAATCCATATGCAATGCCATATTAGATGTTTTATGTTTAATACCTCAATTTTCAAAGTGCATGCAAGTGTGGTGTTATTTCAAGTGAAATTGTTGGCATTTGTGATGTACTGCTACTAGATAATGATACAATCTATTTCTCCTTCCAGAAAGATCTGAGGAACGAATCCCTCCAAAAGGCTTCTGTGGAGCAGAAGAAAGCTGATGAGAATGTCTTAAGCCTTATTGAAGAGCAAAAGGTTTCCCTGCTTTATAATATCTAGAATGTGAAATTGGCATTTGCTGCTTATAACTCAATTCTTCTACACAATGAATGCTTTCTGCTAATTTGCATCTCAATGTTTTCAGAGAGAGAAAGAGGAGGCGTTGAGGAAGATAATTGAGTTGGAAAAGCAGCTTGATAAGAAGCTGCAGCTGGAAATGGAAATAGAAGATTTGAAGGGGAAATTACGAGTGATGAAGCATCTTGGAGATGATGATGCTGTCCAGAGGGAGATTAAAAAATTGAATGATGACTTGAAACGACAAGAAGATGAGCTGGATGATATGGAATCCATGTATCAAACTCTTGTTGTCAAGGACCGTCAGAGCAATGATGAACTACAAGAAGCTCGTAAAGAACTAATAGAAGTATGATTTCTTTTATTAGATGTTTATTCTTAATCCCTAAATTTGTTTTTTGTAGAAAACAAAGTTAAGGAAAAAAAAAAAAGATTCTTCATTATCTGGCTATATATTGGAATAAATGTCTGCTAAACATTTGGATTCATGCTATTCATGGATTTAGTGATGCACTTTTAGATGTGGTGTTTATGAGAGTGAGTGAAGGAGAAAGAGAATATATATATATATATATATATTACATTTCCAATTCTCAATAGAAATAGTAAGGAACAAATAATTCTGATATTATATGAAGTTAGTTGAGAAAGGGAGAGAGATGGACAGATCGTTCTTTTCTCTTCACTAACTACAGTATTTATTTTTGGTGAAAATGACATGATTCACGTTTTTCTGTTGTTATTTTTACTATTACTTGATTTCCTCCAATCAAATTGTTTTGGTTCAGGCATTAAAACAACTTTTTTTTTTTAGAGCAAGCAGGCATTAGAACAACTGACTAACTACTTTTGTTCGTAAAAGTCTTTCTCAAGCGTGAACCATATTTTCTTGAAGATTTTCTTCCTGTTTCTGTAACAATGAATAGCCATGACTAGGTAAGGATTATTTTGTCAGGAGAAGATTATGAACCCTAATGTCTCTTCTCTATACTTATGTTTCAGGGGTTAAAGAATATGCTAAACACCCGGACTAATATTGGGGTTAAGAGAATGGGAGAGCTTGATGAGAAGGTTTTTGTGAAAGTTTGCAAGAAAAAGTTCTCTCTCAAAGATTCTCAGACAAAGGGCGTTGAGCTCTGCTCCTTGTGGCAGGAGAACTTGAAGAATTCAGCATGGCATCCTTTTAAAGTGTTCCCTTCAGATCATGATCAAGCAGTGGTATGCTTAAGAAAACCACAATACTTGCTTTCCATGTGACTACTTCAATTATGCTTTACCCTAGTTTGCTTTGTATTTATTTAGTATGTGTGTGGTTTTACATTAGAAACCACCAAAACCATTTTGTACACGCACTAATATAAAACCAAACATGTTTTCATACATGAATAGAAAAAAGTGGCACACTTTACTGTGAATGACACTGATCTCTTTCTCTCGAAATTACACAGTTGGGATCTTAACATATATATGTATACGTGAGTGTTATAATTTTGCAGCTGAAATTTAGATTTACTTTCCCATCTATTTTAGAAATAACTATGTATATTGTCGATTGTAGTCCCAACATGCTCCCTTGCTCCTGTGCATGTTTCTTATTGTTCTTCTTTCTTTCTCCTTAGTTTCCGGTCAAGCTATTTGCATAATTACTTCCAGACCAGGTAAATAGATTGATATGGGAAACAAAATCAATGTTACATTGATGCAGGAATTAGTTGATGAAGATGATGAAAAGTTGCGAAATCTCAAGGAGGAATGGGGAGATGATATATATAGGGAGGTTGTTACAGCCTTGAAAGAATTAAATGAATATAATCCAAGTGGTAGGTATATTGTTCCTGAACTCTGGAACTTCAAGGAAAACAGGAAGGCTACAATGAAAGAGGTGATCAGTTACATTTTAGGGCAGATCAAGCAACTTAAGTGTAAGATGACCGCTTGAGGAGCGTAACAGCCCCCCTATATTATCCTAAGGTGAGAGGTTTTGTTTCATAACAATTCTATTTAGTTAGTGCAGTGAGTGGCTTATTCATAACCATGCCGGCCTTAGCTCGACCACTCTCTTAATTTTGGCTAAGTTAGTTGAACTTTCCAATTGTAGGCAAAGAAGTTAGAACACTTAGAACACAAGAAAGAGAGCTTGGGTGAGAAAACTTGAGAGCTTTTACTACTTGTTCGTTGGTTACAAATGAAGGGTGAGGGAGTATTTATAGACATCTCCTAACTTCTTAATGGATGTTGGAGATCAATTTGATCCAATGGTTTACATTGCTTGCCTATAATATTCTATGGAAATATCCAAGACATTATCCTAAATATTTAGAAGGAAAACTTTAGAATATATCAGAGAGAGATATTCCTAGAATTATCTAGACACTTCTAGCATTTTCCACACTAGTCTAGAGATATCTAAGTTTTTTGGTAGGGTACCATTTTGTTATTGAAGACTCCGTTGCTTTCTTGATTGCTTTGGATCATCCTAGTCTCCTCTAAATCATTCTAGAAGCTTCTAGAAACATCTTAACCTTGTGAATTTGCCAGTATTGTTACATCATGCTCATATTAGTGTCATGCCTTCAATGAACATAATTTGGCATTTGGTGTGCATTTACTGTGGATAAATGTTTAATTATTCCATGATATATTATTAAATTGGAAACTTAAAACTTGGCTTCATCTTTATGCACACATGACAATGTGTATATTTCTTATGGCAGGCATTTTTTAATAGTCATTCCTTGTGCATATCTTAATTATTTTGGAGGGACCACACTATAGGGCGTTTTCTTGAAATCCCCTTTGGCTCAAAACATAGGATATTGGGTAGGTTATATATACATGTATATATTTTTTAATTATACCCTTACTTTAGTATACTCTACAAACGTAATTAATGATAGTATTTTGAATGAGTCAAATGTTATATGTATTTCACTCAAGGGTATGATTGAAAATATGTGAAAATTTTTAGAAAATCAAGTTTTTAACTAGCTTTTTTTTTTAGAAACATAAATTAGTTAACAATAACTTATATTATGGTATGGAGAGAGAAATATTTAATACAAAGCATTAATCTATTGTAGAATTTGAATGTTGATTATGACATGATAAAGCTCCATAAAGGAACCGAGTTCATTACCAGGTTTATTTTTAAATACAGTTCTTGTTCCTTTTTTATTGTCTGCGGGTTCAATGTGTGCAGCAATTGAAGTTTGTTTGGTTAATTGTTGAATCATGATCGATATTAATTACTGTAAGCACATGATAGAATTGAGGTAATGATGACAGGCGTTAGTGGAAATGAAACGTTTTAGTCCTTAGATTTTCCTTTAATTATCAATTGGGTTCTTGTAGTTTGTTCATTACAATTACGTCCCTATAGTTTCACAATCCCTATAGTTTTGTAACTAGTTTTTATGGTTTGAAAATGGTGCAAGGAAAATGAAAACATTTCACTTTGGGGGAAAAAGATGTTCATATTTAGAACTTTTGTATTGTTATGAAACTAATGCCTTTTTCATGTCATTTCCCCTTATACCATTTTTTAAACCATGAGGACTACTTTTGTTTGATTATGAAATAATAGGGACACGGTTGATAGAATAAACAAATTACAATGACCAAATCGATAATTGAAAGAAAGTTTACAAACCAAAAGTAACATTTTCCTTATATTTTATTATGAATTTACTACATGATGCTGAAATTTAGATAATCAATCTTCCATAACTGAAATTTTAGTTGCAGGCTCATCAGGGGAGAATACGTGATACTTCAAGAGGAATATGGAAACAAACGAGTTGCTTCTTTATCTTGTGCTTGTATGAGTCACGAGAGCTTCAGTTAATGCTTGCTGTGTGCAAGACTTTCCTTAAAATTGTCGTTTGTAATGGATTCGAACATCTGTAGAAACCTTAAGTTTTAATTAGAACTTTAGTTGTCTGTTTTTGGTGATCAATATTATCTCCTTGGAGGTCTAGTTGCTTACTCAAGGATGCAGGAGGAAACTTACCTGAGGTTGTCATTATTCTTCACCCTTTTGGACTAATGTTTGCATGGTTGGCAAGAAGTGAAATGGTTAACTTTGAGTAAATTTTGTTGGTCAAATTTAACAAAAAAAATTGCGGTAAATATTTGCTGTGAATGGTATGTAATAACAAAAAAAAAAAAAAAGAAGGGAGAGTGACAAATAAATCTCACACAAATAGTTAAATGATAAAAGAGAGCCATGAAATATGGTAATTTTTTTGAAGTTTTTAGGGATTTATCTGACATAATTTTTTTATGCAAAATTACATTGGTGATCCTCTAGAAAATTATAGAAAAAAAATTAGTTGTCATTTGCTACTAACTTTTAATCATTTCCCCATTTGAATTATAGTCATTTTTCTATTTGGAGTAATCACTAATCCATAGAGTCTTGCACTTGATTAGGTTACTCAATTTTAGTTAATAACCTAATTAAAGTAGTTATTTTCTCATTTAAAGAAGTCACTAATTTAAATACCCTTGCACTCGATTGATTAAAAAAATTGTAGAAAGTTGTTATTTATTATTTAATTTTAGTCAATAACATAATCCAGAAGTTATTTAAATTGTCACTTACCTAGGAAGTGAACATAAGGTGAGCGCTGGCATATGTATGCTGGCAATTCTATGTGTATTTAGTTTTTAATTCATTTAAAAGATCCAACTATTTATTAAATTTGACAAAAATGTTTTCCAAATATGGTTTAAATGTGTTTTTAAGAGTTATCTAAATAGGTCCTCTTATCCTTACAAAACAATATGATTTAATAACATTACCAATACGAACATTTTCAATAAAAGAACACATGTGAATAATTAAAAAAAAAATTGTCGTGCACAATTTTTAATATACACTACCAAATGACACGCCCAGGCATGTATTGATACATGTGAGAGAGGGTTGTTTCTTTTTCCCTTACTTTTCTCTTTATCACCGTTAGATTAAAACTTCAATAGTTCTAATTTAATGTGTGATAAAATTATTATTTTAATTTTATATAAAAAAATATGTAAATAGATTTGAGCTATTAAAGTTTTATTTAAATAATTTAAAACTATAATATTTCATTTATATTTTTTATGAAAAATAATAATATAATTTTATCAAAAACTAAATTAATTTTCATTTAACGTTGATGATGGAAAAATGAGAAGAATGGAGAGCAAAGAAAAATGAGACACCCTCATCGGAGACAAACACTTCTAATATTGGAAAATCACCCTTCGCATTTATACACATGTACGCCATGTCATTCTTCCCGTCACAGTAGACTGTAGACTTCTCACTTCAACTTCTTCACATCAGCTGGACCACTACGACGACGTTCTGCCTTTTTTTATTTTTTTATTTTTGGTTTTCTGAAGAAAAGGGATGCTACATAGCTGGCAGGGACATTGTTGCTAGTAAATCAGGTGGTCGTGGGTGTCTGCCTTGAATTATTCATAATTAATCACTCTATCGAATTCGTTTTTTATACTTTCAACCAGAGAAAAATTTAAAAGAAAAAGAAAAAGAAAAAAGCGGTAACTCTTACTAATATATATATATATTGATGTTCCTTGTATGCTCCTGGAAATATCGAAGTTATTGTTCGTCAATGAAATGTGTTAGAAGGCAACAGGAATGCGTTTTAAAATCCTATATAAGCCTTATGGGTGCAATAATTCATCATGGCCAATTGTTTTTTTGATATTAGAAAAAATATAACTTTAAGTTTCAGTATTTTGCTTACATTTTGCTAGTGATCCTTGTATTTTTTTTTTTTTTTGATATTTTTGATCTTTGTACTTTTATTTTTTTATTGTTATAGGAACTTTGGAGGGATTTAAAACAATAAAAACTGAAAGTTCAGGGATCAAAAATACAAAAAAAAATAAATAAATAAATAAAGGGACTAATAGCAGAATGCAAGTAAAATATGGGGACAAGTTATGTTTTTCCTTGATATTATAATACAGCTTTGTCACGTCAGATGAGCAATTTCTTAGATAACACATATTTGATAATACATAAACATTTGGCATATTGCAAGCGATTTTGAGAAACCATTTGAAACAACACATAATATCAAAACATGAAGCCAGGCTCAAGCATTTGTAGATGGATTAATTGCGACGGGGGATGGTTTTCGTTGTGAGGGGCCAATAGTGAAATACATGCGCAAGAAAGGAACCTTAAAAGAGGTCTCAGATATTGTCCATGAAGCATCTAAAAGCAGACTTGCTGATGTGGCAAACCCAGCGAATATAATTGATGTGACAAATGAGAACCTCACTGAAAGACAATGCAAGTTCAATGAGAAGACTTTGTCACCGAGTGGGATTCTTGAGGAGAAAGAGCAGCTACAACATGCTCTTGTTGAAGGTTTGTCTACTTTCTGTTTGCAAAGATTTTGTCTTCTTGTAAGTACTATAAATGGTTCCAATAGACTATTTTACTATTTTGATATGCATTTTTATGTTCTTATGTGAATCAAATTAAATGTCAAAAGTTACATGCAAGATTCTGATGAATGACTTCTTCATATTTTGTCAGAAAGAGGGATAATACGTCAGGAGACATGGGAGGAGAGACAAAGGATGATGGATGAGCAACGAAACCTTAAGCAGAGAATTAGAGGCAAGAAAACCGAAGCTTGATCTGTGGAGCAGAGATTTAAACAAAAGAGAGGGTCAGCTCTTTGAAAGAAAGACAGAAGCTTGAAGAAGACAAAAGGATGGTGGTGATATGCCACATTTTTTGTCTCAGAAATTATTTTTTGAACATAATTTCTTACCCTTCTTATCTATGACCACCCAAGTAAAATTGTACGACAGTTCTTTTTCTCTGTTTGTTACTAGAATAATCAGTCACCACCAATCAGCCTTTTCCCGTTTGTGAACTGGACCTATAGATTGTTCACTGTTAGAACAGATAGATATACAACAATTAGTATAGTTTTATGGTGCTTATAAATAATAACTTGTATATCTATCATGAAACATCTTTGCTCTGAATTTTCAGGGGAACTCTTTCTCTGATATTGCTTTTCAAATCCATAAGAAATCCCATATTAGATGTTTAATATCTCAATTTCGTTTATTGTTGCAAGGGTGGTTCTATTTAATCTGAAACTATTGGCATTTGTGATGTACTTCTATGAAATGCTAATACAATCTCTTTCTCCTTCAAGAATGGTCTGAGGTATGAATCCCTCAATAAGGCTTCTGTGGAGTGGAACAAAGCTGATGCGGATGTCATAAGAATTATTGAAGAGAAAAAGGTTTACTTAGTTTATATTGTCTAGAATGTGAAATTTCATTGTAGCAGTCTAGCATTTGCTGATTATAACTCAATTCTTCTACAAATATGCATCTCTATGTTTTCAGGGAGAGAAAGAGGAGGCATGACATGATTCAGGTATTTCTGTTGTCATTTTGTTACATTACTTGATTTTCTCCAACCAAATTTATTTTGGTTCAGACATGACAACGACTAACTACTTTTACTTGTGAAAGTCATGCTCAACTGTGAACCATGTTTTCTTGAAAAGGATCATTGTGTTGTGTCTGGAGAAGGTTATGAACCCTAATGTTTCTCCTTTACAATTATGTTTCAGGAGTCAAAGAATATTCTAATTAACGCCCGAACTAATATTGGGATTAAGAGAATAGAACAGCTTGATGAGAATTGAGAAGGTCTTTGTGGAAGCTTGCTAGAAAAAGTTCTCTGCTGAATTGCTCAGATAGAGGGTGTTAAGCTATGCTCCTCGTGGCAACATAACTTGGAGGATTCAAGGTGGCACCCTTTTAAACTGATGAAGCAGAGGTATGCTTAAGAAAACCATAATACTAGCTTGCCATTTGCCTACTTTAATCATGCTTTACTACCCTGGGTTGTTTTGTCTATATTTAGTACGTGTTTGATTTCATGTTAAAAAATATCAAAACCATGGTTTTTGGTGATTTCCAACGTGAAACCGCCAAACATGTTTCTAGATGAATAAAAAGTGTGGCCTACTTATCTATTTCTCTGTTACACAGTTGAGATGTTAACATATACTATCCCTGATAAGTCACTTTCTATAAGGAATTGATGGTCATCTTTGTAAATCACTTGGCATGAAATCATTAATTACTTTCTTCCAATTTTATCCTTTGACAAGTTCCTATGAGTAGAGTAAAATGTTATGTGTGAGAGAGTATATGTTAGGATCGGAGGGAGTATATGTATACTCCTTTGGTCCTATTTACAAGGAAGAGGGAGAATATTATTTTTAATTCTATTCATAAGGCATTTTACTATTTTCTATATTATCTTTACTTTTATGTTCTTATTAAATACCAGAAAGAATTATTGAAAATTTATTAGGAGTAAAGGTAAAAATTTATTAAATTTAAGACAGAATTTATGAGATTTAAGACTTTTGTTGCGGTGAAGCTTGTTGAAAGTAGCTTATAAATATGATCGGAAAGAGTATGTAGGTGTTACACTTCTGTTGCCAAAGCTAACAGTTAAGGAAGATGATGAGAAGCTGCGAAATCTCAAGGAGGAATGGGGAGATGATGTATATGTAGAGGTTATTACAACCTTGAAAGAATTAAATGAACATAATCCAAGTGGTATATAGGTATATTGTTTCTGAACTATGGAACTTCAAGGAAAATAGGAAGGCTGCATCAAAAGAGGTCATTAGTTGCATTTTGGGGCAGATCAAGCAACTTAAGCGTAAGAGGACAGCACGCTGAAGCTGAGCCATTAAAGCAGAGGGAAAGAGTAGTGAAGAGAAGCTAGATTCAAGCATAAATGGCCAGTGTATGATATGCTAAGGTTTTGTTTTGGGTCATTTTCAGTCTAGGTATGGGCATTGATGGGTTAATTCATGAGCTCATGCTCGTATTACTGTCATGCCTTCACTGAACAAAGTCAGTAGCATAGTGTGGATTTCTGTGTATAAATGTTTTAATGTGATTATCTTGAAATTCCATCATATATTATTAATTGGAAATTTAGAACTTGGTTGCATCTTTATGCACATGTGATGACTAAGTATAGATTTCTTACGGATGAGTGAATGATGACCTCTGTTTTTATCAAGCATTTTTAATGATCATTCAACAAGCATTTCTTAAGTATTTGGATCTTAATGGAGTATTCAGATTAAAAAAAAAAACATTAACCTATTGTAGAATTTGTTTCTGTTCTAGTGTAATCTAGAATTTGTATGTTAACTTTGATGTGACTATGGTCCATAAAGAAACCAACTTTGAGACAAGATTCAAGTTATTTATGGTAGTATAAAGTAAACATGAACCATAATAATAATGACAATACAACTCTAAAAAGAAAACACAATATCTATCTGCAAAGGATTAGCCTATAGCACATCACTACTAACAAGTCTCTCCCTGCTTTCTACTAACAAATTTATATGTCTTGGTTCATTAAATGTTTGAATGAAATGCCATTGAAAGGAGTGGCTAGTTGCAACTTGGAGAACGAGAGAGTTTGAGTGACTTGCTTCATTGATGGTCGAGATTTTGACGAGGGATGTAGGCACGCTAATGCTACTGTGATTGAAAGAATCAAATCTTTTGCATCTTTTCGCAAGGGAAGTGGAAGACGTGGGTCCAAGATATCCTTTAAGAAAATGCTTTCAGTATTGTCCTCTGACAAATACAATATCAAATCTCCAGGATGCTTTCCAATGATGATTTCTAATACCACTACTACAAAACTATAGACATCACATTTTTCAGTCACGACCAAGGTATATGCTTGCTCTGCAACGATCATAAAAGTTATGAAATAATGTAATTATGCCTTGGTAGTTATATAAATAAAGTAAAACACTTTGAAAGGAATAGTATGTGTAAAAGCAAAAATAAAAATAAAAATCATACTAACCTGGAGCAATATAACCATAGGTACCAATTAAAAGAGTTTGATTGGATGACTCAAGATCAAGAATTCTAGCTGTGCCAAAATCTGAGATAAAAGCCTCTATATTAGAGTTGAATAATACATTGTTACTTGTTATGTCACGGTGGATAATTGGAGGACTACAATCATGATGCATATAGAATAATGCATTGGCCATTCCTTTAATGGTATTCACCCTCTTACTCCAGTCCAATTCTTTTGCTTCATCATTGTTACTCAATACATAAAAGAGGCTTCGCCTTTCCATGTATTCATAGATGAGGAACATGTGACGATTGTGCAAACAAAAACCATGGAGTTTTACAATGTTGCGATGTCGAATTTCAGTCAGCATTTGTACTTCATTTTTGAAACTCTTAGTAAAAGATGGGTCTTCAGATATTACTCTTTCATGAAGTTTTTTCACAGCCACAATCCGTCCACTAGGAAGTTGTGCCTTATAAACACTTCCATATGCACAAGTTGCAATACAATGTTTGATATCAAAGTCCTCAGTTGCTTCAATAATGTCTTCATATGCAATTTTGCCATCAAAATTCAATATTGAAAACAAATCTCCATTTTTTATCACGTTTCTCTTGATTTTGGGTTTCTTGTTTTTTTGGATGGACCATACTAAAAGGATGAAACCCAAGATGGATATGGAGGCAGAAGCAATTGTCATAGGAAGAATGAACGTCAAAGAAGACTTTTTACTTTTTGACGAAGAAAACCAAATCTCCTGATCTGGACAAAGTAATTCTTTATTACCCTTGAATATGTCATGAGGGAAGAAGCTATAAACTTCACTTGGAACATAGCCGCTAAGAAGATTGTATGCCAAGTTGATGTATTGCATCTTGACAAGTTCTTTATGTATGCTGCCAGTGATTTTGTTGTGACTCAAATCAAGGCGACAACTTGCTGGGTAAAGGCATAAGCTAGATGATAGCTCTCCATTAATGTCGTTGTGACTAAAGTTACCAATAAAATAAAGCTGGTTGTGAAAGAATGGCATATTACCAATCAGCTTATTTTGGGAGAGATCTAGAGTTTGAAGGCTATAGAGATGTCCAATCTCTTTTGGTATGTTACCACATATCTTGTTCTTTGACAGATCTAAAGTTTTCAAATTTCCTAGGTTTTGAATAGCACGTTTGGGTATGAAACCACTTATTTGATTTTGGGAAACATCAAGCACCTCTAAATATGCCAAATTTGAGATTGAAGAAGGGATTTTGCCAGTGAACATATTTGATGACAGATTCAGATAGGAGAGGGAAGTTAAAAAACCCAAAGATGAAGGAATGGATCCGGCAAGCTTGTTTAAACTCAAATCTAGATAATTGAGTAGAGTGAGATTTTGAAGCTTGATAGGTAACTGGCCATAAAGTTTATTATCAGAAAGCTGGATTCTTTTGAGATTGGTCATGTGACCCACACATAAAGGAATAGATCCATAGATCTCATTCACATGCAAGCGCAGGGTGGAAAGGTTCTTTAATTGACTCAAGGAACAAGGAAGCATCCCAGTAATAAAGTTGTTAGAAACATCAAGATTTACTGAGTCAAGTTTAAAGACGGAGGAATAGGACCAGATATGTTATTGTAACTCAAATCCAAACCCATTAAATTTGTCAATTTTTCAATATGATGGGGTATGAAACCAATGATTTGATTTCGAGATAACTCAATCACTGTCAATTTTGTCAAATTTAAAATTGAAGGAGGGATCTCACCAGTGAGCAAGTTTGAGTTCAAAAATAAGTTCTGGAGATTAAATAAAAAAACCCAAATTTGAGGGAATAGATCCACTTAACTGTTTCCTGTCAAATCCAACGATTCTAACCGAGTGAGGTTGATAAGGCTGGAAGGTAACTCACCAACAAGGTCGTTGTATGCCAAGTTTAGATGAATGAGATTCCGTAGAGCTCCTATTTGAGTCAGAATGGTACCTGTCAGCCTCATTCCAATGAGAGATAAAATTTTCAGATTGGAAAATGCAGTGAAGTTAAGATCTCCAAGTCGAGGCTGTTGTGCAGCAACACGTGGCATCTGAATCTCGATAATGCTTCCAAAGTCATTGCATGTTATGCCATTCCATTCACAATGGTTTGAGATTATGAAGTTGAACCTACCATGGCTAGTATTCCACCATCTGCTTTCAAGTAGAGCATGTTTCTCTTCTGCTATGGTGGCAGCAGTGTTATGGGACAAAGAAATAACATCCCATAATAGTAATATTGCTATTACAACCATTGCTTTAATGCTAGACATGGTGATTGAAATTGCTTCTGCTATTGCTAAAGAATGGAAGTGATGACTGAATCATTCCCAAGTTATAAGAGGATTTATCGGAAATATCGGCAAAGTCAAGTCAACCGCTCATTATGTGTTTAGCTGAATCAATTAAATTCAATTTCATTTATTGATTTTAAAGGAAGCTGATTGGCCGCTGCTAAACGTGTATGACAAAAAGCTTAACTTTGACTTACCAAAGTGTAGATGAACGAGTTTCTCACATTAACCGCTCCCATCCTCCAACAATTGAAGTTATGTCCTTCTACGTGTCACTTTTAATATGTTTATTAAAATTAAAACTTGTTAACTATATCTAAAAATTTAATAAATTTTTAATTATGATTTTATTAAATATATATGCTTTAACAATTAATTTCTCTCATTAACATTTAATGAAGGTAAAAAAAAACTTATAATAAAAATTTGTACAATGTAATTTCTTTCATTAACATTTAATGAGGGGTAAAAATATTTATAAAAAATTAAATTTTTGATCTGAAGATAAAAATTTAATAATATAATTTATAAATAAGATAAAAAAATTTCTCTTTCCATCTTGTAAATATTACTTGAGAGTGATCATTATTTTTCTTGCTGCTTCGACAATTCAAATTAAAGCGTTTAAAAGTTCATTGTTAGTGGTCCTCATCAATGTTAGAGTTCATTAACAGAGAAAGTCCAATGTGGTGGGCATAACATATAAAAATATATTTGGGAAACATTGACCAAAAGTAGTGTCTATAGGAAACGCACGTGTAAGTTAAGAATATATATGTACCGGGTCAAAAAAAAAAAATAGAATATATATGTAAGCTAACTATCATTTCAACAATCAAAGGCTTCCTACGTGTTTTTCTTAGAAAATGTTTGTATTTAAAGTTTAAAGTTTAAGTTTATAAGTTGTTTTCATTTATTTTATACTAATTATTAAGTATAATTTTATTTGATATGAGATTTTTCATATTATTTTAAGGTCTATTAATACTTAGCCGATTTAATAATAGGCTAGATCTTTGAAAGAATGACAAATATTATTTTTAACTTTATTGAGATTTGAGAATGGAAAAAGAGAGGGATTAAATTGAAAATATACTTTTATTAATTACTCAAACCATAATATATATAAACACTCTTGACTTTTTTCATAACTGTCCCTTACACGCCCCTTTCCTTTCCCTCATGCATGTCACACACACTCATTCGCTTGCCTAGTTGCCTTTTTTTCTCTCTTCTATCACTTGCTTCTCTCTGCTGCAAACTCAATGGCTCAACAATTACCCTGTCTACCTATTTATATTTGTTAATGTCAATCAGATCATTCCTTTTTCTACCTTCTCGATCCCACTTCTATCGCCATTCAAGGTCGATTTCCTTTTCTAGAGCATTCTTCAATTCTTTGCCATTAGCTTGCTACCCAAAAATTCTAGATCCTTCCCTTTATTTATTTAGTTAGTCGGTATTCTTAACACTCCCCTCATCGACTAATTAATCTTTTTAACTTTTCATTAGCCTTATTTCTTTAGCCTTCCAAATGGCTTCTTGAACTTGCCATTGTTGACTCTCTCTTGTTGAGAAAACTCATACATAGCTGACTTCATCTTATGCCTTGAAACAGGTAGTTGGCTTCTACATCCTCATAAGTCTTCACAAGTGTGATGATTGGTCTTGCTCTCCATCTTTGTTGTCTTCGTCCTTGTAATTTTACTTAATTAAACTCTTAACATTCTCTTTATCCCTGAAACATTTGGTATCCATGATGCAAAATATATCTATTTCTTCTTTAGACAAGTCTTCTATCTCCATTTCCTTTTCAATGGTACTTGAAGCCTGAAAATCCTATTCTTCATTGCTATCATTCTTATTGTTGGAGGTGACAACATTTCCTTTAGCCCTTTTATTCCACTAGTCTCGAGCAAAGTAGTTGACCTTCCCGCAATTATAGTAGTGACCTTTCTTTTGATGATTTTTCCACTCTTCGGGCCTTTCTCAATCTTCACAAACTCCCCCTTGATGTGAGCTTTTGTTGTGACATCCTCTATGCCAATCATTTTGCTGCCTTCTATCATTTCCTTCCTTCTTTGAGTTGGAATCCTCTCGTTGATCTCTCTTTCTATAAAAGAGAGCCTTTTTATCATCTTTCAAAGAAACTTTGGATATTTGTGTATTTTAAAACTTTTTTGATTAGCTAGGATACTTTTCAATTTGGCTAAAGTTGGTTCTTTATACCAACCTTTTATTGTCGTAACTAGGCCATCATATTTTGGGTTTAACCTTGTAATGATAATTCTCCTCATCTATGTGTCAATGAGGGGTTACTAAGATCTAGGATTGTCATTTGCACCTTGTTACTCTAAAAAAATTCTTCAATTCTCTACCATCAACTTGCTTCTCAAAAATTTTAGATCCTTCCATTTATTTATTCAACTAGTCGGTAATTCTTAAAACTTAAGACCTATTTACAACAAAGATACAGGGTTTCAAATTCATTACTCTTCTTCCTCTCTCTCTCTAAATATATTTTAATACCTAATATATATATATATATCTATATATATATATTAGGTATTAAAATCTTAAAAAATATTAATTCGAACTCTTTATGAAGTCTTACATTTTTGTGGTTATCTTATCTTTATTGTATTATGACATTATTGACCTTAATCCAAAATAATAATAATAATGATAATGATAATAATAATAATAAAGCTTATGTGTAAGTTCAGATTTTTCCTATTTATGAACTCGTTACTCATTAAGTCTTTAATTTATTAAATGTTTTTTTGAAAAATTAATCATTTGTGTTCCATAATTTTTACTGATTTTTTTTTTCACTTAGTGCAACCCAATCGCTATAGTCTACTTTAATTATAATTCAATACCTAATTTTTGATTCAGTGCAATTCAATGCTTACAATTTTAGCTATTTAAAATCACTAAAACATTTTTTTGCTTTAGGAATTGTTTTATTTACAATGGTTCTAAAATTGTTGTCTAATGGATAGAGTCGTCAATAAAGGTTGTTATGTTTGAGCCATCTATCTAGGCCTTATATTTTTTTAGGACTGGGCTTGGAAAATGGATAATTTTTTCTCTCCATAAAATGGCTTCTAGGTTTTGTTCTTATAAGTTATTTAGAAGCAAGCTCAAGCTTGAGCTAGCTTTTTCAAGCCTTATATTTTTTTTCCTCTCTTTTTCTTATGTGGTTGAAATTATTAAAAAATTATTTGGTTGAAATTGTTACTATTGAAAAATGACATGATTAAAATTGTTTGATTTATTTTATTTTTTGAATTAATATATGAAAATTACACAATTTGTTAAATTGTGCATTAGCATAATTATAAATTTAAATAAAAATAATTAAAAAAATAATTATGTGGGCTTTCAAGCCCAGCTCTAATAAGCTTGTGAATGAAGGTCAGATTTTAAAAATATAAAAAAAATTATACAGAGGTCCCTTGGTAGAATTTTAATTAGTAAAAATTTCATAAAATAAAAAATAACTATGTAAATAAGTCTTAGTGTACATTTACCAAATTACCCTTATTTAAAAAAAATAAAAAAAGAAAAAATTATGAAGAGGTCCCATATAGTAACATTTTTACAAGTAAGTTCTACAAAATTTAAAAGCTACAACCAAGTCTTTTGAAAATTGAGTTTAATTTAAGATTGGGATATAAGGACAATACTACCCTTATTAATTTGGCTTTTACTCACAACCATAAATTCACATTTACAAGTAAAACTTTATAATTTATAAGTCAAATTTTTTATTTGACACTTAATATGATATAGAGCCTTTATAAAGTTAATGATGTTTCCTCAAGCTATAATTACATGATGAATTATGAATTTTACATTTCAATTAAATCAATTATAACTTTAAGTAAATATAATTAACTCCATACTCGCTCTATATTATATTGATTTGTAAATTATGAAATTTTATTTGTAAATTGTGAAAATGTAGTTGTAAATAAAAATCAATTTAGTAAGGATAGTATTGCCCTCGTACCCTAATTACAAATTATAACTAAGTAGTTTTTAAATTTTATGGTGCTTATTGATAAATAAATCTATTGTACAGGATTTATTCCTAATTTTCTCAAAAAAAAAAAAACCTCCTCCCATGTTCAGCTGCCACTGACACTGAAGCATTGACTCTTCCATCTTACCCTTACTCTCTCTTTCTCAGATTCTACCCTCAGTTTTTTTTTTAATCACAATCATGCGGGACCTGAGCAGACATATATGCTCCAGAAAAGATAAGCAATTGTGATTCCCTGACGAGTTTCAGCAGTTTTATCACTAGTCCCAGCGATGTCATCATGTTCAATCCCGTCAATTTGTCCAAACCATCAATGGAGTCACCCAAATACAAAGGAAATTCAGGAGTGATCTTTACCATTCCAGATCCAATACTCCCTGACTAATTTAAAGGCTTGCCATAGTTGATTTCTTGATCAGAAGACATCCAAATCCTGTGGAATCATATCTGAACACCCTGAAAAAAAAGGATTTGAATATAAATCAGGCAAGAAGAGAGACAAGCTAAGGGAATCCATGTCCTTGGAACCCGATGATCAATAAATGAATGCACACGAAAAAGATCGGTTGCAGAATCCTTCCTCCTCCTCCTCCTCCTCCTCCTATTCTTTCTCACAACTCTCTCTCTCTCTATGGTTGAATGCTAATTTGGACGGTAAATTCTAATACCCAGAAAAAGAAAACTACTAAGGTCATGTTTGGTACATTAGAATTGGGTCCAAGAGAAATGGAATTGGAATTGGAATCATGCTTTTAATTGTTTAGTATGCATGAATCTAATTCCTATGGATTTCAATTTTACCAAAATACCTAGAATTCAATTCCATCTTTATCATGATGTAATTGCCACAATTCCATGAAATTGTCATAAGTGTCCCACATACACACTCCATCATGATGGCTGAGTTTTTTATATTTTTTTATAGGGACATTTGGTCTTTATCTATTTTA